TCCCAAGCCAGCTCTTAACCATCGCACCACTCCGCTGGCCCTCCAGCACCTTTCTTGATTAGATTTATATTCCATAAATCATACTATTACCACCTTCTATCCCAAACTACATTTAATCTAGCCATTTCTGTGACAGCTTATGTTATATTTTCTAGATCGCTCCACATGGGAGAAGAGGCAGTAACCATGAGGTAACTGGGGAAGTCTGATGACTGAGTTTGATTGACCCTAGTCAATTCCTGATTTATCTAAGGCTATCGGCTTGGGGGTCTTCTGTGATAAAGTGACCAGGAACCTTCCCCAATAATAATGGCTTCCTGGAATTATGAGGGACATAAATTCAAACAGAAACCATTTAGTCATCATTTCTTAAGAGAGTTTATGTAGGTTTATGTACCTTACGCCGTGGGAAACATAAATATCACTATCCTGTTAATGCTTGCCAGGCCAGGATTCTTTACTCATCATTTCAGCACCCCTAGCAACTACACAGGTCCTGGCACATAGTAGGACCTCTGCAAATGCACATTGACTGATGAGATGCTCCAGTTTAAGCATGATTGAGAGATCCTACCAGGTTGTAAAAAGACACAACCTTACAATATCTTCCTGTCTTCCTGCCACCAGTTTGACCCCATCCCTACCTCACACCACAATGACACACATCCATTGGGTGGGGTAAGGAATTGGCTTAGTCACAGAGGAAGCTCTGTCACAAGCTAGTGCTAGCTGTGACCATCTTAGCTTTAGTCTTAAAAGGTGATGCAGAAATCAACCCTAGCACTCATCATGCATTTCAAATGCCGCTCAACCAGCCTGTGCAGGAGGGGAGGCTCCACACACACAGGACTTCCCCGGAAACACAGCAGAGCATGAGAGGGGCGGCTCTTGCTTTTCCCCGGGTGGGGCTCTGGTAGAAAGAGAACCCTGTGGACCACATAGAGCCTAGGCACCAGGGAAACAGGGTGAAGGCTGACAGCTGAGTCACCGTGGCCAAACCAAGCCCACTGTCCCTGGATGAGGAAACCGGGGTTCCTTGGCACCTGCACACAGACATCCTGAGTGCACCCAGCTCCACACCCAGGGACATTTACAAACTGCTTTATCGGGCTATAATTCACACACCATAGAACGCACCTATGTAAGGTGTGCGGTTCAGTGGCTTTCGCATGTTCACACATATGTGCACACATCACATATCAACATTCAAGCATGCTCAGGGCCTCACAGTGACATCCCATACTCTTTACTTGTCGCTGCCCTCGTCTCCTCCCTCTCCCAGCCCTAAACCAGCGCTAATCAACTTTCTGTCTCTATAGACTGCCCTCTTCTGGACGTTCGTCGGAACGGCACCAGATAACATGAGCTCTTTGGTGACTGGTCTTTCACCCAGCAGAGTGACCCCCTCCTCTTCACGTCCTTAGAATTTCCCCAGCCCAGCGTCTGTTCACTCAGCCCAAGGACATAGCAGTTCCAAAGACCCCATACCTGTATCCCTCCTAATCTCCTGTTATAACCAAGTTGAAACAGTAATGACTTTGGAGGCACACCGCCTGGGCTTGCACTTTGACCTTTCTGCTCACTCTTTGCAGGACCTCAGCCTTCAGTCTCAGGAGCCTCACTTATCACTGGGGGCCAGTTCCCATCACGCAGGGTTGTTTCAAAGGATCCGAGTGGCATTTCCCTCAGGAGCTCTGTGGGATGGTGTTAGGTGGTGCAGTGACAGGATTCTGTAGCATTAATCATGGCATCAGAAGGTTGTTGCCCTTTCAGATCACGTTAAGCCCTTTTGATCACAGCAAGGAGAAAAGCTCAGTTTACTGTGGACGTTATTACCCCTCTATCACTAGCTAATCTCTGTAACAGGGAAGTGGTCATCCATGGGCTCCGAGACTTGACAATGAACAACATAAGGCTAGAATTCCTATCATTCCTCCATTGTATTGCCTTTTCATTACATTATTTTTTCATAGTAACCCTTCTTTTTAGGGTAGGTGATACTATACTATTACTTAAAGTATTGCTAAAACATTTCCATCTTCATATAAATGTTTGTTTCTATTAGTTTCAGGTGTACAAAACAATGTGATAGTTAGACATTTAGACCCCTCACAAAGTGATAATCCCCCTTTCCCCAATCTACTACCCCTCTGACATCGTATATAGCTGTTACAATTCCATTGACTCTGTTCCCTATGCTGTACTCCACATCCTGTGACTATATATGTATTAAATTATAGTTGTATTAAATTCAGTATTACTCAGCTTCAGCTTCAGGTGTCCAGGGCAGTGGTCAGGCATTTATCTATAAATGTTTATTTGAAGGTATTGACTCTGATAAATACATCACTAAATTAAAAAAAGCTGGTATAGGCATAGAACACATTAATGAATATGAAATATACTTATTTGAATACTGAAAAACACTTGGTAAAATTGATATAAAGCCCACATTATGGCCCCTGAAACGTGAAGCAATCAGAAAAGACAAGAATATGCTATTGTAGTTTTCACATCTCTCACTCAATTGACCCTCATCTCGAATCCCAATGTAGCTGTCAAAGAAACTTACCAAAGAAGAGGAAGAAAATTCAGGGATCATACTGGCTGTCCTAAGGACTCGCCTTCAGTTTTCTAATGTCAGGACGGAGGAAAGCTTGATGTGGGTGGTGGCATCTTTGCTGTAGCATGTCCCTGCCTTCCTGTCACGACCCCAGACTTGCTGTCACACTGCATTCATGAAATAGAAAAAAAACAAAACAAAACAGGTAGTGTCACATCAAGCTCCCCCTAGGTCTTCATTTCTGTAAAATCAATACCCAAACAGAGTTAAATTCCAGATTTCAGGCCTCAAGTACTCACTCCCTAGAAGGGCCCCAAATCCCTAGGGTCTGAGTCTGAAAGACTCTGACTGAGGAGATGAAAACAGGTTGGTATGGAGACTACTGAGGGTCCCTGGGTAATCGAAAAGATGCTGGATATTGGTATAGAATGATGTCATCAACGTTAGTGACTGTATGGTCATGTGTCACTTAACGATAGGAATACATTATGAGAAGTGTGTCATTAGGTGATTACTTCATTGTGCAAACATCATAAGAGTGCTGTTACACACACCTAGAAGGTACAGCCCACTGCACACCTGGGCCGGATGGTACAGCCTACTCCCCCTGAGCTTCCCCTATGCAGAAACGAGCCTGGACAGCAAGTTTCTGCATAAAACAACATGAGATTAAACCAAGCACAAAAGAAAATGATGCAATCAAGGGACACAGTAAACACGAGATGCGTGAGGCTGCTGCCGGAGTAACACAGCATATTGTTTTACAGCAGACTTTTTTAAGTAGGAAGATTATACTATAAAATAACGTTAAAGAGTATAGCATTATAAATCCATAAACCAGTAACACAGTTTTCTATTATCAAGTATTATGTACTGTACATAATGGTATGTGCTCTATACACTTTTAGACGACTTGCAGTGCAGGTCTGTTTACACCAGCATTACACAAACACATGAGTAACGCATGACACAATGTTAGGATGGCTATGATATCACTAGGAAGTAGGAATTTTTCAGCTCCATTATAATCTTATGGGACCACCATCATACACGTGGTCCATCGTTGACCAAAATGACACTATGTGGCATATGACTATCTTAGTTTCCTAGGGCTACTGAAACAAAATACCATGAAGTGGGAGGCTCTAAACAACAGAAATTTATTCTCACAGTCTGGAGGCTGGAAGTCTGAAATCAGGATGTTGGGAACGCCAGGCTGTTTCTGCAAGCTCTTGGGGAAAATCTATTCCATGCCTTTCTCTTAACCTCTGGTCTTGCCACAGTCCTTGGTGTTCCTTGGCTTATAGATACACTTAGCATAATGTTTTCAAGGTAAAAGAAGTCAGACACAAAAGTTCAAGAATTGGGCAACTCCATAGAATCACATATCCAAGATACAGAAACAGGAAACGAAATGGTGGTTGCCAGGGGCTGGAGGGGAGGGGACAGGGGAGAGTAAATCCATAAGGATTACACCTTAAAAGTAAAGGCACTGGTTTGCTGTCCCACATGTCAGTATCTGCATTGTGACGTCACCAGAAGCCTGTGACATCATCAGAATGTTCCAAGGGCTCAGAGCTCAGTTCCCAGAAGCTGGCCTTAGGTGAGCCATGAAGAAAAGCCCAGGTAAGTGTTGCAGGCTTCAGTGTCCTAAACACATATGAGATTGGACAATTAAGTTTGTGAACTGGTTGCAACGATGTTGCTAACCTTTTTTTGATGTCACAGGGATTATTCATTATGAATTTGTACCAATTGTACAAACAGCTAACCAAGTTTACTGTTTGGAAGTGCTGAAAAGGCTGCGTGAAAAAGTTAGACAACTTGAACTTTTTGCCAACAATTCATGGCTCTTGCATCACGACAATGCACCAGCTCACATGGCACTGTCTGTCAGGGACTTTTTAGCCAGTAAACAAATAACTGTATTGGAACACCCTCCCTACTCACCTGATCTTGCCCCCAATGGTTTCTTTCTTTACCCGAAGATAAAGGAAATACTGAAAGGAAGACATTTTGATGACATTCAGGACGTCAAGGGGAATACGACGACAGCTCTGATGGCCATTCCAGAAACAGAGGTCCAAAACTGCTTTGAAGGGTGGACTAGGCGCTGGCGTCGGTGCATAGCTTCCCAAGGGGAGTACTTCGAAGGTGACTGTAGTGATATTCAGCAATGGGGTATGTAGCACTTTTTCTAGGATTAGCTCGCGAACTTAATTGTCAGTCCTTGTAGTAAAGTAGGATTTAGAGCCTCAACTTGCTGAGACATACAATTTCCCTTCCTTGATATACAAATAGTGAGCTGTCACTGTTAGCTGATAAAAAAGAAAGGGAGACTGACATGAACAGCTTTTGGCCTTCTGACAATTTCTAAAATTGAAATTCACTGTCCAAGAACATCTTGGTTTCTGTTGTTGTAAATAGTATTGTTTTTTAAAAATGTTATCTTCCATACAACAGAATACTATGTAGCAATAAAATTAGATCAACTACTGATACCCACAACCTGGATAAAAATATTCCACTTTTCAGTTTTTTGTTCCTCACAATGGAAATATGATTGTGATATTATGATTTTTTACATAGACCTTGATAAACTTATTTGCAATAGTGTATTTGTAGACTGTTAGATTTTTCTATATACACATTCATATCACCCACAAATAACACAGCTTTACTTACTTTTGTCCAATCTTGGTAACGTTTACATCTTTTTTTCTATGTCTTGCACTGCGTGAGAATTCCAACACATGCTGAATACAAGCGGCAGGACTGGCTCCTTATATTATTGCAGACACACACCATCAGATAAAGTTTTGTTTTCCTAGTATGTCTAGGTTACTAATTTTAAATCACGGATTTGTTTGGAATTTTCCAAAACCTTTAAAAATGGTCATTTTCCCCCCCTTTAGGCCATTCTTGTGGTCAATTACATTGTTTGATTTTCAAAAGTTGTCAATTTTGAATTCCTGAATTAAACACTGCTTTGTCAAGATGTATTAAGAAAAAAGAAAGAAAAAGTATCATATATAACATATATGGCATATATGATATATATGGACCTGAATTCAATTTGATAATAGTATTCTGGTTAAAATTTTTGCATCTATGTTTATTTGGGATATTGGCCTGCAATCTTTTTACGTGCTTGTCAGGTTTGGGGATCAGGGTTATGCTGGCCTCATAAAAGGAGTGTAGGGTAATGTTTTCATTTTCTATTCCTGAAATCATTTGTGTAGAACTAACTAGTATTATTTATTCTTTAAATACATGAACGACTTCATCAGGGAAGCCATTGTGCCCCAGAGTTTTCATTGTGGAGACTTTATTCATTATGAATTTAATTTCTTCAACCACTTTAGGGTCATTCATGGTTTGTTTCTTTTTTATCAGCACTGTTAAATTCTGTGTTTCAAGTATTTGGTCTATTTCATCTAACATGTCAAACTTATGGATATACAAGTACAAACATGACATAATTATTATCACTGTAAATTGTGGTTAAGGTCAGTAGGTCATCCTCTTTTCTTCCCTGACATTGATCATTTGGGTTGTCTCTTTTTTCTTGACCAGTCGTTGAGATCAGTAAATTTAATTCCTTGCTCCCAGACCAGTTTTTGCCTTTGCTTATTTTCTCTATTTCTAGTGGCTGGACAGTAATATTAAGATTTTATTTATATGTGTATTAAGTATATTCATATATTTATTTTTTATTTATTTTAAAATTTATTTTTAATAATAGTGGACAAAATATTCTTAGTTTCAGGTGTACAACATGGTGATTAGACATTTATATGCCTTACAAAATGATGTCTAGTACCACGTGACACTGTGCACAGTTATTATGATATCACTGACTCTATTCCCTGTGCTGTGCTTGACAACCCTTTGACTTATTTTATAGCTGAAGTTTGTACTTCTTAATCCCCATCCCCTTTTCCACCCAACCCCCCACCCCACCTTCCCCTTTGGCAACCATCAGTTTTTTCTTTATCTCTATGAGTTTGTTTCTGTTTTGTTTATTTTGTTCTTTAGATTTCACATATAAGTGTAATCATACTGTATTTGTCTTTGTCTGACTTATTTCACTCAGCATAATACCCTCTAGGTCCATCCATGTTGTTACAAATGGCAGTATTTCATCCTTTTTATGGCTGAGTAATGTTCCATTGTATTTATGTACCACCTCTTCTTCATTCATTCATCTACGGATTTTATGGATTTCTGTTGTTTATTATTTCTTTTCTTTTCCTCTTTTTGTGATAAAGTTGTCCCTTTTTAGCTCCTTGAGATTGACTACAGTACTCATCACCAGCATTTCTCCTTCTCCCATATGCATTCAATTGCATATACTTCCATCTAAGCAGTGCCTTGGCTGTGTTCCACCAGTTTAGATGGGGCATAGTTTTGTTTTGTTTTCATTCTGCTCAAAGTATGTTCTAGTTTCCATTGTGGTTTCTTCTTTTACCAACTTGTTATAAGAAGTCTGTTGTTTGATTTGCAAACATTGAGGGATTTTTCTGGTTATTTTTTGGTTCTTTCTAATTTAATTCCACTGGACCTAGGGAACACACTTCATATAACATAAATTTTTGAAGTTTATTGAGACTTGATTTATACCAGTTCATATGACCTGTTTTGGCAAATGTTCCTTGTGTACTTGAAAATAATGTATATTCTATAATTGCTGGGTGTAGCAGTTTTCTGAAAAATCTTAGTCAAGTTGCTTAATCATGTAGTTCTGACCTTCTATAGCCTAACTGTTTCCCTCATTATTAACTGTGTTCAGATAACATTTTTCATGAGTGATGACCCTGTGGGGGGAGGGGGCAGGAGGGAGTGTTTCTACACATTTTTAGAAAACCTTAAAGAAGCATCTTAGAAAAGGCATTCAAAAACTAATTCAGCAATACTGATTATCTCATTTACTCCCAGCATCTCTTCCCTTAACCAGGGAATTATCAGTATTCTATTTTATTTTTTTAAGACTTTATTGGGGAATTGGGGAAGGGGAACAGTGTTGGGCAATTGGGGAGGGGGTACAGCCAAGTTGTTGTCCTTCAATATTAGTTGTGGAGAACGCAGCTAGCTCAGCTCCAACTCCAGTCACTATCTGGCCACCTGTCGACAGCTTGCGCCCGCTCAGCTCAAGGTGCTGTGCTCA